ACCCGAGGGCCCAGAAAGGCAAGCTGACAGTATTTGCAGGGAGACATTCATGTAAACTAGAATACACTGGGACTGGAGCTATCCTTGCCACCTGATCAAAGTTAGGGGTGAGGGAGAGAGGCACCCATCAGCCCCCCTTCTAGAGAGGGTGACCTTTAAATAGGGCTGTAAGAGATGAGAAGGATTTCCCTGACCTGAGGAAAGGGGAGGGCATTCCAGGAGAAGGGAACTGAGTGGGCAGACTCAGAGGGATGGACATGACCGGCTGCTCCAAGGAAACCATCCCCTTGGAGCAAAAGGCTGGAGAAGTCAGCCGAGCCCAGGGCACAAGGGTCTGGCAAGGGCTGCCAAGGATTCCTGCTAGTATTTCCACCCGCTCCACAGCAATGACCTCTCTGCAGACTCTCCTGATAATCGATGCTGGCAGAGGACCCCGATGGAAATCATCCAAAAGAGAGAAATGTCCCTCTGTTGGCTCAAAGGGGCAAGACAGTGCAGTAATGAGGAGTCGGGGCTCTGAACACAACAAAGACCGGAGTTTGAACTCCCTGCTCTGCCCACGTGTAGCTGTGTGACCCAGCCATCCGTCCCATCTCTTTATCTGGGACAATAATGCTGTCAAGGGCTTACTGAGAGCATTAAATGAGATGTCAATATTTTATGGTATGTGACACTTAATCATACAGTAAAATTTACTGACTAGCATTTTTTCCTCTTAAAAATTAAGAACGTGGCTATAGACTATAACATGGTTTGAAATGCTATGTCTGCATGATAAGTTAAAATGGAAAATTTATAATTTGTGCTCCAAAAGCTTATTTAGAATTTTTCTTGCACTGTTTTGTATAATGCAGAATAATGATTTTATTTTTACAGGCTTGGAGATCCTAACATTTACATATCTTTATTTTCATATGTATAGTTATTTTACTTTAAATGACTAAATAAGCTATTTTATTTCAAACACAGTTGAGTTGGTTCTAATTATTGAACTGTCTATGCACTGTACGTAGCAAGCATTTTTAATCTATTGTGTACAAGTGGAGAGGGTAACTGTATTTCACAGAAGCGTAACTGTACTATTATATCAAGAAAGACCTCTTGGGGGCTTCCCTGGTGGCGCAGTGGTTAAGAATCTGCCTGCCAATGCAGGGGACACGGGTTCGAGCCCTGGTCCAGGAAGATCCTACATGCCGTGGAGTAGCTAAGCCCATGTGCCACAACTACTGAGCCTATGCTCTAGAGCCGGTGAGCCACAACTACTGAGCCCACGTGCTACAACTACTGAAGCCCGCGCGCCTAGAGCCTGCGCTCCGCAACAAGAGAAGCCACCACAACGAGAAGCCCGCGCACCGCAACGAAGAGTAGTCCCCACTCAACACAACTAGAGAAAGCCCGCGTGCAGCAACGAAGACCCAATGCAGCCAAAAATAAAAAATAAAAAAAACAAGAGAGAGATGCTGATGAAGCCCTTAGCCACAGCACCTGGCACTTGAAAAGCCTTTAATAAATGGAACTCCGGTACTTCCCTGGTGGCGCAGTGGTTAAGAATCCGTCTCCTAATGCAGGGGACATGGGTTCGAGCCCTGGTCCGGGAGGATCCCACATGCCGCGGAGCAACTAAGTCCGTGTGCCACAGCTACTGAGCCCGCACTCTAGAGCCCACGTGCTGCAACTACTGAAGCCCACATGCCACAACTACTGAAGCCCACGTGCCTAGAGCCTGTGCTCCACAACGAGAGAAGCCACCGCAATGAGAAGCCCGCGCACCGCAACGAAGAGTAGCCCCCGCTCGATGCAACCAGAGGAAGCCCGTGCACAGCAACAAAGACCCAACACAGCCAAACATAAATAAATAAATTTATTAAAATAAATAAATAAATGGAACTCCTTGTTAGTCAGGGCTGCCACCAGGGTCCGGAGGAACAGGGCAAGGAAACACGTAAGTAGGAAAAGCGGTGGCTCTACTTTGACCTTCTGTGAAGCCTGTCACGGAGGGGATGTCAGCTGCAGGGCAGGCAAGGGCACTTGGGTTGGGAGAGCTGGATACGGGTGGGCGGGCAGTTCTCCTCTGCTAGATCCCTTTATCCTGGCCAGCGAGGGTGTGGGTGGGGAGCAGAAATGTCAGCTTCACCCAGGGGCGTTTCAGCATCCCCACTAGGGAGGCGCCCAGGCTCACAGCCTACGCAGGAGCTGCAGCTGTGGACAGCTGAGGCGGGCACGGGAAAATGTTCTCTGCAAAGAAGCTGAATCTGCTCGTGACCTCCCAGGCCCAGCTGTGCTCTCAGCAGCCGCTCCTACTCCCCTGCCCACGTCTACCTCCCCGGGGGAAAAGCCAGCTTCGTAGCCGAGGCAGTGATGCTAAATGATGCTGGAGCCAGCCGGCCCTGCTTGTCCTGTTGCTTAAATTTTTTCAGTGAAAAGCTTCTGGAAATGCAGAGGAGTCCCAGGTCCACGAGTATCACTGCATAAAGACTCCAGCCCTGTCCCTCACGTAATTTAATAAATATGTGTCTAGTGATTTGTCATTGATGTAAGCTCCACGTGGGCACTTACCAGGCTTACCTAACTCACTGCTGGATAGTTAGTGACTGGCACGGTACCTGATCGTAAATTGTTGATTGAGTGAATGAAATGAAATAAACAAACCTGACACTCAGGTTCAGCAAAGCAAGAGGATCAGTCTGAAAACCTACTGAAATAGAAAACCTATAGCAGGATCATTACATAGTAGTTACTCCATAAGAATTCCATCTCCATGACTATGAGTTAGGAATCAATGCCTTATTGCTTTAGTCATCTCACCATCAAATTTGAATGGCAGGATTGGATTGGATTTGATGCCCCACTTTCACCTTTGCCCGCTTTCAGTCTCTCATCAGCCAAGCCACCAGAGTGAACTTATCAAATGTCATATAGGTCACTGCCGTGCTCAAAAGAAGTAAAAGTCTAAGCCCTTACAATGATGCATGAAAACAGACAAGACCCTCCTCTCATCCCTTACATCTCCAACCTCACCCCATCACCCTCCCTACAGCTCTGACTTCCTTCCAGCTGTCTGGCCTCCCTGCCGTTCCTCCAGCCTCAGGACCTCTGTGTTTGCTGTTCCCTCTGTCTGGAATACTCTTCCAACTCATATTGGCAAAGCCTGTTCCCTCACCTGCTTCTAGCAGTCACCCAAATGCCACCTTCTCTCCTACCAGATGGCCTATTCCCTTTCAGGGTTTCATCTTGCTCCATGGCACTTACAGGCATCTAGCCTACTACATATTTTCCATATGTATCATGTCTGTTGCGTGTCTCCATTATACAAGCTCCATGGAGGCAAGGATGTTTGTCTTTTGTTCATTGCTGTATCCCCTGTGTCTAGAACATGTTTGGGCACTTAGCAGGTAAAAACCAATGAAGGAAAAATACAAATATAATATACCCCCATAAATAAACTAGGGTCTTAATGATTTCTTCTCAAGAACAAATAGAAAATGAAAACATTGCAAAGCAAACTGTGGCTCCCTTCAAAAGAGAAAAAAAGAGAACGCTATTGCTCTAGATGGTTGGTTATTAAGAAAATGCTTTGAAACTCCAAAAGAACACCCTTTCCTGTTAGCTGCACACACTATTCAGGAACTTACAATACAAAGTGTTGTTTCCAAATGGCAAAGCCCTGCTTCCACACAGCTAATCTCAAAGGACTTATTTAATTGCTGTGTTTTGATTGGGCACAACTGGAGTTGTGTAATTGCAATAAAATTTATTAAATGTCTCATCCACTCTGAAATACTTAAAATTATAACCTAAGTGAGATATAATTCACATACCAAAAAAATCCACCATTTTAAAGTATACAGTCGGTTTTAGTATACTTAGTATATAGTAAATATCATCACTATCTAATTCCAGACCATTTTCAGGACCCCAGAAAGAAACTCCAGACCCATTAGGGGTCATGTCCCGGTTCCCCTCTACTCTCATCCCGACAGCCACTAACCTACTTTCTGTCTCTATGGACTTGCCTATTCAAACCTAAGATTTTTAACAGATGACATATATTTCATACTCTTGTAGTTTCAAAAACCTTGACTGAGCGCCATGTTGTTTTAACCAATTAAATTGTCTTCCTCTTGGCATGGGTTCCCAGAACCACAAGAATGTTCGCAGCTCTGCACATCATAGTGGGTGCTGAGACTGTGGCAGACATGGTGGAGCAAACCTTGACCCACCCTAGCCACTGTGAGTTTATTTCAAATCCCCAAACTCTCACAGAATAAATGAGATCTGTAATAAGAACTGGAGGATGAGGATGGAAGAAAATAAAATGATCCCAAGAACCTCCCTATTTCTAGGGTTGAGACTGGAAAGGACACCACAGACAAACCCAATTCTTTCCTCACGCCCCAGTGTCTTCATGCCTGTGGGTGGTGAACAGAGCATGTCAGCACCCGGAGTGGGAAGAGATATGGGGGTTTTAATGCAGACGACACTGGATAAAACAGTGAAGGAGTGCAAACTTTGGGTAAGATAACTCGATTCTCACAAACGCAAATAATGCTATGGCCCATAGTCAGCAATTAACAAGTATTGGCTGAATATCTTAATGTAATTAATAATGAGCTGATGATGTATGTGGAAGCTCTTTGTAAATTATACAATACTGTACAGATGCATTATTAATATTTCCTAATCCAGCTTCTTCTCCTTAAAATCATTCCATCACTGACAGGAATGACTTAGACCAACTTTGATCTATGGGATTAAAAAAGAAGGCAAGCTCTCTGCCCTCCAGCATTTATAATCTTCTTAAGGAGACTGAAGGGAAGTAACTTGGCAGTTGCAGAGTGATATCTGATGAGGAGATTCTAACCTGGGGGTGACTTTTAGGGAGCCTCTCTTGCAGGCAAGGATGGACATAGAAAGGGGGAAGTGAGGGAAGAAATTCCCAATTTGGGGGATCATACTCACTGAAGTCAGGCTGCTTTGCTTGGGATTTCTTGACATCTTACCTGAGAATAGATAGGCTGGGGCCTGCTGCGGCATTATTAAAATCAAATTCCACATCCTTTAAGGCAAATCTTTCCAAGATTTCAAAGGTTCTGTTTGACTCCTTGGAAATAACAAACACTTCCTTGCACTTCTCAGTGAACTCTTCGTGATAGAAACGTTCAAAGCTGTGCTTGAAGTCTTTAGACACAAAAAGATATGTTTTGATACCTTAGATTTATAGTTTTGCATTTTCCATTACCCATGGTTATTATGAATACCAAGGAAAGTATCTCCCCTTCTGTGTCTATACCACCTTCTTTCTATGTTAGCACCAAATTTCATAGCCCATTCTACATTCTAATGAAAGGAAGCTATAGGCAAGCAATTTAATCTTAATGCTATTTGTACATGAAATCCTATGTAGGATTCCAAGTTATTTCATGACCTCAGAATGACCAAGGCAAAAAAAAAAAATTGGATTTGCTACATACATCATCTTGTATCTTTAGACTGTTAGCTAAATATGAAGTCACCTAATTCAATCTCGTGGCATATGTGTATGTTTCTATCCATGGCAATGGTTGGGGGAGTGGAGTGTATTTTTAAGATAAGTTGCCCAATGACAACCATGGGTACAGCTGCAACTCTGCCACTGGGCAAGTCCCTTAAATTCCCCGGTAAAATAAGTGGCAGGGCCAGACAACTGGATCTCTGAGACTCCTTCTAGTTTCAAGGCACTGTGTTTCTAAACTCATTGCCTAATTAAAGTCAAGGTGTTCTGGACTGCCAAAATGTCCTCCTGTCTCTGGAGACACCTACATCTCCCAGAGTTTGGGTGGGTTTTTTTTTTTTTACATGCAGTGAGGCAGGAAAATGAACATCAGGTAGTTTAACCTGGTAAGGTCTCAAGCTATCTTATACCCCCATAGTTAACTGGGCTGCCTTGTGGCTCAGGTTAGGGCCAGAATAACCTAGAGGACCAACAGTTTGGCCAAGGTTAGCTTCAAATTTCAAGATCCTGGACAGAACTGGAAATGATCCCACAGTCTAATGGATCTCTTTAGCTCACCCTGAACCTCACCCACTAGTCTCAGGCATCTCCAAGGACCTCAGAGTGCTTCTGAAGGTCAAGAGTGTGAACTGAGGGCTTCCCTGGTGGTGCAGTGGTTGAGAGTCCACCTGCTGATGCAGGGGACACAGGTTCGTGCCCCGGTCCAGGAGGATCCTACATGCCGCGGAGCGGCTGGGCCCGTGAGCCATGGCCGCTGAGCCTGCGCGTCCGGAGCCTGTGCTCCGCAAGCTATGAGATTCTGGAACTATCTGGGTGATTAAAGGGTATCGAAGATCCAAAAGAAAAGTAATTTAGCCTTTTTTCTGAAGATTTTGTAATAATCCATCCATTCTGTACCTTCTACTGCAGACATGTAGTCCATATATTACATATTCAAAACTAAAGTCTAAAACAAGCTAATATTTCAATAATAACCAAAATCAAAGACTAAGGAGAATACTATGGAGAAATAATCTGTCTCTAACCCAAATATACAGGAAGGCTTGATTCTTGAACATGTTAGTAAATATTAATGAATGCAGTTCAGATTGAGACTAGTCAAAGAATATCACTATTAACCATACTTCAGGCCTTAGCCAAATATATACTATATTCTTCCAGGACTCTTTTCTTTTTTTTTTTTTTTTTTGCGGTACGCGGGCCTCTCCCGCTGCGGAGCACAGGCTCCGGACGCACAGGCCCAGCGGCCATGGCTCATGGGCCCAGCCGCTCTGCGGCACGTGGGATCCTCCCGGACCGGGGCACGAACCCGTGCCCCCCGCATCGGCAGGCGGACTCCCAACCACTGCGCCACCAGGGAAGCCCAGGACTCATTTTTTACGATTCATTCTCATTAGCCTAATATGTGTCAGGCACTGTTTTCAGGTATTTTACACACATTATTATACACATTATCTTGAGTTCAAAGGTCGTTAATGCTAACTCAGTAAATAGAAGAAACCAAGGCTTACCAATATTACCATTTTCTCAAAGTCACAGAACTAGGAACTAAAAAATCTTGGATCTGAGAGCATTTCTGTTGTTGGACATTCTAAAACTCCGAGCTCGTAGTAAATATTCAGGATATTTTGGGGCTGCCCAACTTCTATTCACCCTACCCTAATTCCAGTAACAGCCCCAGATTATCATTTGGGGTCCCACCTTGTCCCAACTCTCACTTCATGTTATTGTAGTGGGTCTGACTCCCTCCAGCTCCAGACGTGGCATATGACCCAAGTTTAGCCAATCAGAGCATCACATTCTCTTGGCACCAGTGACAGAGTCAGATACAAACATATAGTCCAAGTCCGGCTAATCAGAGACAGAAAGACTTAATCCTAGGACTTTGAGCCATTCCTGCTGGACCTGAACCTGGAGCTGCTACAGCCACCTTCCCTCCATTATGGAGGCGCCAAGGAGTTGAGGCAACATCAGGACAGCAGAGCCATGCAGAGAAATAGTGAGAAACCAGGGCCTGGTAACCTCATTTGAGCCAGTGGACGAAGCCTGAGCTGAACACAGACCCAATCCTGGGCTTTAAAGTTATATAAACTAAAATTCCCTGTCTGTTGGAGCCAGTCCGAGTCACTTTCAACCCAAAGAGTAACGATTGTTACAATATTCTTTTCTAGGACTCCAAAATAATTTGGCTTGTAGGCAGAGTTTTGTTTGACCAGCACAGGTGGGATTTTGTGCCCCACCCCCAACAATGGATGTGAATGACTTTAGGTGGGTCAACGCCCTTCCATGCAGTTGACTACAGATCCATCTGCCCCCCTATCATATTAGAAGGACTATGCCTGCCTGGTCCCTGAAAGCATCTGAGAATGCACCACCTGCATTTTGCACTCCCACATTAATTGGGCCCTTACAACAGTAACTCACAATCTTTTTTGGGTCATTAAACCTTTTCAGAATCTGATCAAAGACACAGGCCAACTTCCTACCGCCCAAAACACACATCTGCATATAAACATTCTCTTTTTCATATAAATTTAGGGCATCACAGATCCCTCCCAAAGTCTGTCTAGGTGAAGAATCTCTGCCCTGCTCTGATGTTGTTCCTCCCTTTTTAATCTGTACATGTCCATGACACAGTATTTTCAGAATAAATGTAACCATTTCATTCAGAGGCAACAGGATGCCAGGCAGTGCTTCTCAAACTTTAATGTGCCTGCAACTCACCTGGTCATCTTTATTAAAATGCAAATTCTAATTCAATAGACCCAGAATGCATTTCTAGGAAGTTCCTAGGTGATGCCGAGGCTACTGGTGCACGGATCACTTACTCTGAGTAGTAAGTGTGAAGGCAAACGAGCATGGATTTTGGAGTCAAAAGGACTTGGGTTCAAATCCTAGAATGATCCCTCACTGGTGAAGTGACATTAGGTAAGTCACTTAACTGCTACACAGCAGCTTTCATTTGTTCATCTGTAAAACAGGAATTAGAGCACCTACCTTGCAGGGCTAAACCTTGAAGATTAAATGCGATAACGTGCAAAAAGCACATGACAATTAATAAAAGTTCTCTCCTCTTTAGATCAGGATTTCTCAACCTTGGCATTGTTGACATTTTGGGTTGGAAAATTCTTTATTATGAGGGGCAGTCCTGTGCACTGTAGGATGTTTAGCAGTGACCCTGACCTCCACCTGTTAGATGCCAGTAGTACACCCCCAACTGTGACACCAAAAATGTGACACCAAAGATGTAGCCAAAAATCCCTTGGGGGCAAAATCAGCCCTGGTTGAGAACCTCTGCTCTATATCTACATGTTAACTGCCAGATATTTTAGGTCTTCTCTGAGCTCCTTGACTTCCTAAATCCTCTTCCATGACCCACTATTTGTTCTCAGTTTCAAAAATCTTCAAATGAAGAAATGCATGTTACAGGAATATGGTAATAACTTTAAATGCTCAAGGAATATTTTCAACCATTTAAAAATTCCTTTCACAAGGAAGACATACAAAACACATGGACCTATGACAACAGACTTAGCTATCTCCATATTTACTAACCTATATTTTCCATGATTAAAGTGGGTAAAGTTTCTCTATCACAACCAACCAGTCCTTGAGAACCAGGCTCACCCAACTCATGGAGATCTCTGTACAACCTGACAGGTAGTCCTTTGCTAATAATCTTGGCCTTAAGCTTTCCAATCTTTAATTTTTCCTCATTGTTGATCAGAAAACCTGCAGACACCATCTCCTCCTTTTCCTCGTCCATAGGCTTCAGCAGCATGGTTCCCGTCCTAAAGTAAAAATACTGAAATTGAGACTCATTCAGAAATGCTGCTTGGATGATCTCTAACTCAATCAGACTGCGGTTGGGATTCTCCAGGACCCAAGGATAACAGTTTCTTGCAGCAACATAGAGATTCTGTTCCATTATGGATAAACTTGACAAGTCAGTTGCCTTGGAGAACATGACAGGTGAGTAGTCAGGGAGAAAGTCCCCATATGTCTGACCCAGCAAGCAGATAAAAAAGGGAAAGCAGCTGTTCACGCAGTCCAGACAGAGCTTCAGATGTTGCTAGTGGAGACAAAAATGTTGTCTAAATAGATTGAAGGGTAAGGGCGCCTGGGCCTTCAATGCTGACCACCTCAGGTCCACAGCTTTGAAACACGCACCCCGGGAACTGCAGAATTCGCTCAGCTGAGGGAAGCTGGAGTTTGCCAAATAGTCTCTCTCTTCCTGAAAATCATCCAGAGTCGAGCAGATGTAAGGCTGAATGGGTTTCTGGGGCTTTAAAAGGAATTGGGCAGACCTGTCTACATTCTCATTTGCCTCCTGGCTCATTTCACTTTGCTCAGAGACGACATCACCCTTAAAACAATTTTCATCCTGGTGCAGCCACTGACCTCCACTGCTTCTATGACTTCCCCCTAATTATGTTCACTATAAACAGATTGAAATCTTTCCCCAAAATGCCTTCTTTCTTATAGATATTTGAAGGTGAGTGATGTCAACCAATGGACAGATCAGAGTTGAGACACAATCTAGTTTAAGTTAGGAGTGAAAAAGAAAAAAACACATTCTTTTTTAGGATTACAGGAAGTCCACGGCTCCTCTGTTTCCCCAAAGCTTTTGCTGAAGAGCTGAGAACCACGGGTGATGAGTGGGCACTGGTTACAAGGCTCTCCCTCTTTTCCTCAGCCCCCCATTCCACCTTCCCGGTGTTCCGTTGGCCACCTGCTCCTTCTGCCACACTGTGAATTTGAAAACTACACAAGGGGACTTGCTAAGAGTGTGAAAAGGAAGGCAAATGCAGAAAAGGAGCCTAGTGTATCCAGCAACAGAATAAGCCAAGACCCATGACTGTGACCAGAAGCAAGAATGAAAATAGGTATGAAGTTGAGGTCAGGACAAGAGGAACAAATCAAAATGTAATAAGGGCCAAGACCAGTAATGTACCTGGCATCCGAGAGGCAAAGAAGTCTGGATCTAAGAATCTGATGGAGTTCTGTGATCATTTTTATCTTAAGTTGTGCAGGCTCATACGACACTCCATTCACCTACATGCACTGGGAATTAAATTCCACTGACCTAATGGAAAAACACACGCCCTCCAGCAACGATGTAGATATGCTTGCACATTGCTCAGAAGCAAAATATTCAATGAAAACTACTTAGCTTTACGAGCTTTTTCTTTTTTTTTCTTTCCGGTACGCGGGCCTCTTACTGCTGTGGCCTCTCCCGTTGCGGAGCACAGGCTCCGGACGCGCAGGCCCAGCGGCCATGGCTCACGGGCCCAGCCGCTCCGCGGCATGTGGGATCTTCCCGGACCGGGGCACGAACCCGTGTCCCCTGCATCGGCAGGCGGACTCTCAACCACTGCGCCACCAGGGAAGCCCACGAGATTTTTCTTGATGCAACTTATTTCCATACCAAATGTTGCTTTATTGGTTATGTTTGTTGCTTTCACCTACAGAGAAACATACCGTGTTATCACGTATAGGGCAATTTTCCATCAAGACCACCTGACAAGAATATAATAATACATTACCTTTTAAAAAAAGTGTTAACCCTTTTGCATTTAATTGTCACAATAATCCTACGATAGATAATATTACCACCCTACTTTACTGATGAAGAAAGAAAAGTTCAGACAGGATAAGCAACGTGTCTAAAGGTACCTGGCTAGTAAGTGAAGAGCTAGGATCTAAAAGCAGGTCAGCCTGACTCCAGGACACATACATTATACTGCCTCCATATAATAGAGATAAGACTCTAGGTCTTGAAGATACCACAAATCAATAGGTACGAAACACCTATGCAATAATGATACTGTAATAAAGAGGCGACAATCTGAAAAAATTAATTTAATTTAATCTCACACAAACAAAATCTAAAAGATGACAGAATAGGCATCATGGACACTTTATTAATAGACTTTTCACCTGCCACGTAGGAGGCTAGAATTAGATTATCAGACCTTGAAAATATCCATGTTTTCCTATTCCCAAATGATCAGAGGTAGTAATTTCTATCTTGGTCTCTACCAGGTCCCCAACACCTAGTATAAGGACTGGCTCAGAGTAGGTGACAGGTAAATAATTGTTGAATGAAAGAATTTAATATGTTTTAAATGAAAAGAAAACATAATTAAATATTTATCAAACCTGGAAAGGACTTCCAAAACTTATACGCTGTAGAAGAAATCACAAAAGAATAGATAATAACTACATTTTAAAAATACTTAGGGACTTCCCTGGTGGCACAGTGGTTAAGAATCCACCTGCCAATGCAGGGGACACAGGTTGGATTCCTAGTCCGGGAAGATCCCACATGCCACGGAGCAACTAAGCCCATATGCCACAACTACTGAGCCCACGCTCTAGAGCCTATGAGCTGCAACTACTGAACCTGTGGGCCACAACTACTGAAGCCCACATGCCTAGAGCCCGTGCTCAGCAACAAGAGAAGCCACCGCAATGAGAAGCCCTCACACCATAATGGAGAGTGGCTCCCACTCACCGCAAGTAGAGAAAGCCCACGTGTGCAGCAACGAAGACCCAACACAGCCAAAAATAAATAAATAAATACATTCATTAAAATAAATAAATAAAAATAAAAATACTTAAAGGCAAACAACAGACTTTAAAAATATTTGCCACAAATAAATTTATCTTTATTCTAAGAAAAATACTGATATCCTAGTTGACATATAAGCAAAAGATACAAACAGATAAAAAGAAAAATAATACAAGAATACATATAAAAGCATATTTAACCTTTCCAGAATTCAACGAAATTTAAAAGTAAGCAATTATACAGATTTTTTTGAGTACACATAGTTATCTAAATATTGGTGAAATTTATACCTCACATATATCTATGGAATTGTAAACTGGTAATTCTGGAAAGCCATTAGAAGGTATATTTGGAAAGTAAATGGCAATATACTTCAAAATATATTAAAGTGTTTTTAATTTTTGACTCAATGATTCTACTTTCTGGGAATCACTCCAAGGAAATAATCAAAATAGTGAGCAACTATAGTCATTAGATGTTCATTGTTTATGATAGAAAAAATAGTAAAAGAAAGAAAGAAAACTAAATGGTCTCCACAAAGGACATAACTAAGAGGATAAAAGTATAACTAAGAGGATAAAAGTATAGCCACTGATGGCAAGTGGTACGTATGTTTAAAAGACAGTTACAGACTTCTGCTTCCAGCCATGATAAAATAACAGGGACTAGACTTACCTATCCTCTTCAAAAAATTAGAAAACTGGACAAAATATAAGAATTAGCTGTTTTCAGACATTATACATCAGGCAGTACAGAAGTGTGTGATCCCAGAAAGAAGTAAACTAGAGGAGCTATATTATTATCAGAAAAAGTAGACTTCAGAACAAGTGTTACTAGGAATAGAAAGTGACATTACATAATGATAAAGTAGTCGGTCTACCAAGAAGACATAATAATCCTAAGTGTGTAGGCACCTAACAACAGAGCTTCAAAATACACAAAGCAGGGACTTCCCTGGTGGCGCAGTGGTTAAGACTCCATGCTCCCCATGCAAGGGACCCAGGTTCGATCCCTGGTCAGGGAGCTAGATCCCACATGCATGCCGCAACTAAGTGTTCACATGCCACAGATAAGAGGCTGCATGCCGCAACTAAAGAGCCACTGAGCTGCAACTAATGAACCCACGAGCTGCAACTAAGGAGCCCACCTGCTGTAACTAAGACCTGGTGCAACCAAATAAATAAATAGATATTTTTTTAAAAAAACTTAACAATCACTTATTTAAAAAAAATACACAAAGCAAAACTGGTAAAATGAAAGGAGAAATAGATACACCCTTAATACAGTTAGAGATTTCAACACTCCTCTCAAGTAATCAGTAGTTTAAATAGACAGATATCAGCAAGGATATAGAAGATCTGAAAAACACTATCAGGCAACTTCATTTTTTTGAACATTCCACCCAACAACAGGAGAATACAGGTTCTTCTCACATGCACATAGAACAAGCACCAAAATAGACCAGGTTCTAGGCCAAAGGTCAGCAAACTACAGCCAAAAGGCTAAGGCCCACCTGTTGCCTGTTTTTATAAAGAACATTTGATCAGAACACAGCCACTTTCATTCATATTAAGTATTTCATATTACAACAGCAGAGTTGAGTAGTTATGACAGAGGTCAAAGGGCCCACAAAAACTAAAATATTTTCTATCTGGCCCTTTAAACAATAAGTTTGCCAACCTGAATTCTAGGCCATAAACCAAAACTCAACACATCTGAAAGAACTGAAATTATATAAAATATGTTCTCTAACCCCAATGGAATTAAATTTGAAACTGATAACAGAAAGATACCTGAAAAATTCACACAAATTTTGGAAATTAAATATTATTTCTAAATAACTCATGGATTGAAGAGGAAGGCAAACAAAAATGGTGACAGAAAGCAGATCTTTAGTTGCCTTGCGGAGCATGGGGAGGAAATAACTGGGAAGGGTCACAAGGGAACTCTTTAGGGCAACAGGAATGTTTTCTATCATAAATATAATGGTAGTTAGATGTAGGCATTCATCAGAACTTACCAACTGATCACTTAAAATGGGTGCAATTTATTTTATATAAATTAGACCAAAATATAGTTGATTCTTTAAAAATCTGAGGACTATATACCAAGAGAAAAAGGTTTATAAGTAAGGGTTAAGTGAGAAGGAGAAAAAAATAAGTATAGGCCATAATAATAACAGTGCTAATAAAACACAGCTAAATATGGGAAACAGCA